GGTCAGCATCCTGCCATGTGACTGCATTTGTCCCGAACCTTCAGCAACCATCACGTTAACTTTTATGGAGTGGAAAAAATTTGGCATTCATCCTTCAGCTTCACTGTTTATATTATGCTAACATAGCTGTGTCGCTAGCGATCACGTAGCACATCATTATATAACCCTACAAACGTCACTGCTGTCTACTTTCCTGGCTTCATTTATGTCGGAAATGATAGCAGAGCTGTACATCTTAATTTGATTCGGAAATCCCTCAGTGAGAACATGGTATATTATATTTAGATGGAATCTAGCAAGCTAACGTCCTGCTAACTTCTAACTCCGTTAAATTTCATAAATTTGGTTTTCATGGATGCCTGGATGTTAAATGTAATTGTTACACCTGGTAGAGCAGTAACGCTGATCATTTTATTACAGATGAAAGGATTTAGACAGTTTTTAACTGATGCCGCAGTGATCGTGTGACTTAGGGACCTGCAGCGAAGTTTGGGCCCACACAGGGCTAATGACGTCAGACTTAAAGACTGGATATTAGTTACTTGTGAGATAAACGGATGTCATTAAGTCACAAGAGAGGACACTAGGAAGCATAGGTTAGCATAACAAAAGGCACCCAAGATAATACCAGAGTGTGTGAGTGCAGCTTGCATTGGTTTTTGGAATGCGGCTGAAACGTGGTCCATGAAGAACCTGATGTCAGCTATCTGTGAGTGATGTTGGTTAAGAGTTAAATTAATTAGAACTTCAGTTTAAACAGTTCGGGTTATAGAAGTTTGAATAACATCTTGAAAGATATATCTCTAAATAATATCTCTAAAGATATTATTCAAGGTCAGAAATATTTTTCTCACCTTTCTGCTTAATTTGCAGGCGCCTGAACCCACTCTCCATGTCAGCATGGCAAGTTAACAACGAGATCAGCCTACACCTGTCTGTGGAGGGCAAGGTGTTGTTTAATTTCTTTTATCTGCTGAACACCTAAATGATTCACCTGTACCTGTGTTGATGCATAAGTATAAAGGTGTACTTTCTTTTAAAGGTGTTCTCGGTTTTCTCATCACTCCTTGATCACTCTAACTCCAAAGTTGTCAGCATGTCCACAACAGACAAGATCACTCAGTGGCAGGTCCTTGGATACCAGGGAGCCTTGCTTAGCCACTTTATCGAGCCCATCTATGTCCACAGCATCCTCATAGGCAAGTAATAAAATCAGTCATGCTCCTTAAGGGTAGTTGGGAATCACCCTGTATTTGTTACCTTTTCCAAAATATGAGGAGGTAGCAAATGAGAGACCCTGTTTTTTTTTTTGTTTTTTCTTATTTTTATTTATTTATTTTTTATCATTATGCAAAAGTGCATCACCACCAAGTCCAAATACACCAGTAGAATCACTCCACGTTGGCACTGGGTTAGACAGTGTGGGTGAATGCTAGACGTCTTCATTTGTGCCGTTAATAGTGATATGAACACAGTTCTTGTGCTTTTGTCATTTCACAAAGTTTTTACAAAGCACTAGTCTCTCACACAGTCCCAATTTAAAATGGAATAGAGCAAGCATCTTAAAGATTCATTTCATTTCAGGGCTGGGAGGACTCTATTAGGGTGTACTTCACATCATAAAAAGATAGGACAAATTGTTTTTCCAAGACAGATCTTAGTGTAGTACCTGCTGTCATTTAAAAGTACAGTGGAACCCCGACTTACGAAATTAATTCGTTCCTGAGGGTCTTTCGTAAGTCAAAAATTTTCCTAAGTCGAAGCACCCATTGCGCGTTTTGAGTGAGGCGATGCTGAATGATAGGCTAATTGCTAACTAGAACAACAATACATCGTTCAAGTGGAACAGCGAAGCTCAAGTACGGAAGCCAAGGGGTTGTCACATGATTCAGAAGGCATTGTGGGCATTGTAGGCTCAGCCAATCAGAGCCAGCGGATTTCGTTACTCTGGCATTTTGCCGTAACACAGGCAGAAATATTGCCATTCAGTGCCTTCGTAGCTTGAATTTTTCGTGAAACCGGGTATTCGTAAGTCGGGGTTCCACTGTATGTGGCAAAGAAACAAACCGATGGCTCTACATTTCATACTCATACAATTCCTTCTGTAACTTTGTGTAACCCTACATAAGATCAATGTATGCAACTGCTTTTAGGCAGGTGAAAAACAATTGACAAATTCCCCAAGTTGTCCTTTTGACAATGTATCACTATGTCACAGTAGTGTATCCTCAAGTTTCCAAGTTATTTTTACAAAGGTAAAGTAATAATTTTCTTCCTTCCTCTCCTTTTTCATAATCATAATGACTTTGACCACATTGATTCAGTCTGTAAGGGATGGGGAAACTCCAAAATGAGTTATACTCTATATTTGCAGCAAACAAAGTCAAACACCTTCACAATTGCAGATTGCAGCAAGATTAGTCATAAAAAAATGATACCACTAACTGAAGGAAACTACATATGATTCTGTGTCTTGTAACTTTAAATCAACCTTGCAGGTGACTCTGACTGTAGTGAAATTCGTGGCATGGAGATGTCTGTCAGCCAGCGTGTAGAGGGCATCACCTCCAAGCTGCCCATGTTCTATTGCATGATGAGGCCTCACATTAGCCTGGTGCCATCTGCGGCTTCCAGCCATGCAGGCGGTAACCAGCTGACCTACGGTATCAACTGGAGCGAGGGAGACAGCTCCCTGGAGGTTGTGGATGGTCTGGAGGGCAAGACCATAGAGGAGTAAGAATCACTGTATAGGAAGTTGGGAGAATTGAGGGGTTTTGGGGTTTGATACTCATTTTTATATGCTTTATTTTAGTTATACTTTTAAAATGAAGCATCTTAAAATAATACGCTACCAGTGAAAAGTTTGGACACACCTTCTCATTTAATGGTTTTTCTCTATTTATGCTACTTTCTAGATTGTAGATATAGACATCAAATATATAAAACAAGATATATGGAATTGTGTAGCAAAGAAAGAAATCATGAATAACTCTGAGTATATGTGATATTTTAGATTACTGAAAGTAGCCACCCTTTGCTTTGTTGACAGTGCTGCAAACCCTTGGCCTGTTAGTGAGCTTCATGATGTGGTCACCTGAAATAGTTTTCGCTTCAGAAGTTTTCCTTGCCAGGATTAATTTGTGTAATTTCTTGCCGTCTTAATGGGTTTGGGACCATCAGTTGTGTTGGGCAGAAGTCAGGTTGGTACAAAGTGAACAGCCCTATTTGATAACTGTTATAATTTCATATTATGGCAAGAACCAATCAGCTAAATACGCATTTGATTTACAGGTACAACATATTTATGACCACAATTTGAGCCCATACAATCCATCATTACTTTAAGAACTGAAGGTTAGTCAGTCTGGAAAATTGCAAAAACTTTGAATGTGTCCCCAAGTGCAGCTGCAAAAACCATCAAGTGCTATGATGAAACTAGCTAACATGAGGACTGTCCCAGGAAAGGAAGACCAAGAGTCACCTCCGCTGCTGTGGATAAATTCATCCGCGTCACAAGCCTCAGAAACCACAGCACCTCAGATGAGAGCCCAGATAAATGCCAGTAGCAGACACATCTCTACATCAACTGTTCAGAGGAGACTGCACGAATCAGGTCTTTGTAGTAAAAATGCTGCTAAGAAACCATTACTAAGAAAAAGTAATAACAGATATGTTTCGGCCAAGAAACGCATGGACCAGTGAAATCTGTGCTTTGGTCTGATGAGCCCAAATTTGAGATCTTTGGGTCCAACCGCTGTGTCTTTGTGCGACGCAGAAAAGGTGAACGGATGGTTTCCAAATGCATGGTTCCCACTGCGGAGCATGCTGGAACAGGTGTCAATGTGTGGGGGTGCTTTGCTAGTGACACTGTTGGGGATTTATTCAAAATTGAAGTCACACTAGTGACACTAGTTGTACCATAATTTATTTTTCAACAGGAAAATGACTCCAAACACACCGCCAGGCTGTGTAAGAGCTATTTGACCAAGAAGGAGAGTGATGGAGTGCTGCACCAGATGGCCTGGCCTCCATAGTCACCTGACCTAAACTCAATCGAGATGGTTTGGCATCAGATGGACCACAGAGTGAAGGCAAAAATGCCCAACAAGTTCTTGTGACCTCTGGGAACTCCTTCAAGACTATTGAAAACCCATTTTAGGTGACTACCTCATGAAGCTCATCAAGAGAATGCCAAGAGTGTGCAAAGCAGTAATCAAAGCAAAGGATGGCTATTTTGAAGAATCTAAAATATAAAACATGTTTTGAGTCTACATGTGTTTTGTGGACTTGGAGAAGGCATTCGACAGTGTCCCTCAGGTGGTCCTGTGGGGGGTGCTCCGGGAGTATGGGGTGTCATTGCTACGGGCCATTCAGTCCTTATACGACCATTACAAGAGCTTGTTCTGCATAGCCGGCAATAAGTTGGACTCATTCCTGGTGGGTGATGGGCTCCGCCAGGGCTGCCCTTTGTCACTGATTCTGTTCATAATTTTTATGGACAGAATTTCTAGGCGTAGCCAAGTGGCGGAAGGCTTTCACTTTGGTGGTCTCAGGATCTCATCTCTGCTTTTCACAGATGATGTGGTCCTGTTGGCTTCATCAGGTGATGGCCTCCAGTTCGCCTTGGAACGCTTCGCAGCCGAGTGTGAAGCAGTGGGAATGAGAATCACCACCTCCAAATCTGAGGCCACGGTCCTCAGCCGGAAAAAGGTGGAGTGCCCACTCCGGGTCAGGGACGAGACTCTGCCCCAAATGGAGGAGTTTAAGTACCTCGGGGTCTTGTTCACGAGTGATGGGAAAAGGGAGCGGGAGATCGACAGATGGATTGGTGCAGTGGCTGCATTGATGCGGCGCTATACCGGTCTGTTGTGGTGAAGAGAGAGCTGAGCGTAAAAGCAAAGCTCTCAATTTACCGGTCGATCTACGCCTCTACCCTCACCTATGGTCACGAGCTGTGGGTAGTGACCGAAAGAACGACATCGCGACTACAAGCGGCGGAAATGGGTTTCCTCCCAAGGATGGCTGGCCTCTCCCTTAGAGATAGGGTGAGAACCCAGTCCTTGGAAATGCCTGCACTTTCTATCACCTTGGAGTACTACACACCACAGGAAATGGTGGGCTTTAAAAAGACAAATCATAGAGTGAAGAAGACCTGGAAGAAGGAGAAGAAATCCATTGCAGATGACCTTCACCTCAATGACACCTGCAGCTCTGACTTTGGCTCCAGGACACGTGGCCGAGGCCTCAAACAGGAGAATGATGAAGACCAAGAAGTAAAGAAGGAGGAGAAGGTGGTGATGCATGAAATCCACCTGCTGTCTGGCGACATCAGGATGACAGAAATGGACATAAGCGACAATGAGGAATTTACCCCTCCTGAGCATGCTGTAATTGAGGAGGATGAGGCAGAGCAGGAACTGCAGAAGCAGAGGAACCTGAAGCAAATGCAGCTCCTGAAAGACTCTGGGGAGAAAGTGGCAGAGTAGGTTAAGAACCTTGTTAAAAATGACAACGAAGACCATCCTGACATAAGGAACAACATTTTTTTTTTAATGCTACCTCAGAGTTTTGCAGAATCCTGGGTGATATCCCAACATGCGGACTGTCAGGCAACAGAGGACCAGGAAGACATTATGGACTTTGAACAGGAGGAGGAAAAAGATGATGCTGGAGGTTAAGACTCTTGATATGGATGAGAATGTTGGATGGAGTTCACCTGGATCACGAGCAAAATCAACCAGATTTTGCCACAGCCTGTGCCACCATTTTGGACGAGGAGCCCATCGTCAACTCTGGCCTCGTTGCTGCACTGTTGCTGTGCAAAAATAAGGGTTTGTTGGACACTCAAGTGCAGAAAGTAGCACGTGTCAAAGCACCAAAGGGTGCCCTGCCCAATGGTGACTAGTGCATTGAGGACAAGATGGGCTTTGATGACAAGTACAGCCGCAGAGAAGAATACAGAGGTTTCATGCAAGACTTCAAGGAGGATGGCTGCAAGCCTGACGTCAAGATTGAGTACGTGGAGGAGTCTGGGCGGAAACTCACTCCAAAAGAAGCTTTTAGGCAGCTCTCCATCTATTCAACGGAAAGGGGTCTGGAAAAATGAAGACCGAGAGGAGGATGAAAAAGCTGGAGGTAGAGGCGTTGCTGAAGAAGATGAGCAGCAGCGATACCACTCTGGGAACTGTGGCTTTACTGCAGGAGAGGCAAAAATCCCAGAAAACACCATCTATTGTGCTTGGAAACAGTATGAATGCAAACACAATTACTAAATAAGCATGAGGGGAGAAGTGTATTATAATTGTGTATAATTAACGTAGAAACATTCATGTGCATAGATAAAATACACCACACATATACACATCTTTTAATTAATGTCTATGATTTAATGTCCTAGTTTTTTGAAGCTGCAATGTTGTGTTTTTAATTGTTCAATAAAATCAGTACAATTCAGAAGGGAAAAAAAAGAGAGAGAGAGAGGGTGATTCGGCCATTTGGGAGGGGCTCAGAGTAAAGCCATTGCTCCGCCACATCGAAAGGAGCCAGTTGAGGTGGTTTGGGCATCTGACAAGGATGCCCCCTGGGCGAGGTTTTCTGGGCATGTCCCACCGGGAGGAGGCCCCAGGGCAGACCCAGGACACGCCGGAGAGATTATATCTCTCGGCTGGCCTGGGAACACTTTGGTGTTCCCCCAGATAAGCTGGAGGAGGTGGCTGGGGAGAGGGAGGTCTGGGCTTCTCTGCTTGGCCTGCTGCCCCTGAGACCCGGCCCCGGATAAGCGGAAGAAAATGGATGGATGGATGTTTTGAGTTATTTTATGCTTTTTTTGTTTTACATAATTCCATGTGTTCATATGTAGTTTTAATGCCTTCAGTGAGAATCTACAATGTAAATAGTCATGAAAATAAAGAAAAACCATTAAATGAGAATGTGTGTCCAAACCTTTGACTGGTGGTGTATACCCTAAATAATACCGTATTTTCACGACCATAAGGCGCACTTAAAAGTCTTAGATTTTCTTCAAAAAGTACGGCGCGCCCTATAGCGCAGTGCGCCCTGTGTGTTGTAAGGAGGACGTAGTAGAGAACACCATGAGAACGCTAAAGGGTGAAGTGTGGGCG